CCCCCGCCGCCCCGGCCCGCGCCCCCCGCGCCTCCTCTCCTCCCGCCGGCCCGCAGTCCCCGGTGCGGCCCCGTCCCTGCCCTGGGGCCGCGCGCCCCGGAACTCTGGCCGGCGCCACCGGAGACCACCAGGACCCCACTTCAAGGACCCTGAGTCCCCAGGCGCTCATCGGTTAATCGGCTCCTCAAAGTCCCTACACCTGACCCTTGACCCTCGCCCCGGAATGACTCGGAGTTCCGGCCCGGTCGCTAGGAAACAGGCCAGCCCCCACGCGAGGGGCGGGGCCTCGGGTCTTCCCGGAGAGTTGGGCGAGGCAGGTGAGGCGGGGCGACCCCTCTCCTCACGCCGACACCGGCACACACCCATCCCCCACCACGCCGACGCCCACGCGGATGGGGGACCCTCAGCACACGGGGGAGGCCCGTCAATTGACCCCACACTGAAGACCAGACACACAGAGGACTGACCTCTCTAGATGTTATATGCACACGCCCTCCCCCTCGGGCACACAGAGCCCTGCAAGCGCGTCAAGCCCCGCACATGCCCATCAGCCACGCACACGCTGAGGTCCACACGCGTAGAGGACCTGTGTCCCAATCCCCCTTGCACACTGACCCTGAAAGCACAGGGGACGCTCCCTTCCACATGGGGGACCCTATGTGTACACCAAGAGCCCTGCACACACACAGGAGCCCGGCGGATACCGTCCTCCCGCAGGGACAGGGCACCTGGTATGCACACTGAGCCCCACATACACACACTGCCTCGCTCCCCCATGCACACGTCAACCCCCACACACGCATCCCTAGCTTGCACACAGAAGCCCCCAGCTGCCCCTGGGTGCCCCAGCCACCCCTGCTCCCCCTCAGACCCTCATTAGGGTCCTTACCACCTAGGCCCTGCCCTGCACTGAACCCTCTGTCCAAATCAGCTCCCCCTCTGCCCCTGCCACTCCCACCCCACGTGCTTGCCTTTGACACCTCCCTGCCTGAACCCCTTCTGCCAGTCTTCAGTCACTTCCTTCCTCCCCGTCCCTCTCACCATTTGATTCTATTTTCTTGGTTTTCAGGGTCATTCCCAGTTTCACCAGTTCTTTCCCCAAACACACAGTGACACCCCACTGGTGCCAGCGTGGTGAGAACGCAGGCGTGGGGGCAGAGCAGCACCCAGACCGTTGTGCTGCAGTGGGTTGTCTGTAAACTGGGGGCACTCAAGGGCTCTGGGGCACCGGGGAGGACCCCAACTCACATTAGAGCAGGCAGGGGAGGCCTCGCAGGGGAAGTGAACTTTGGGCTCAGCTGCACAGACTAGAGAGAGGGGTGTTGCTTCCAGGACCTGACAACAGCATCTGTCAAGGCCAGGACAAGAGAGGGTCTGAGGTCAGGGGAGGTCAGTGCTTTGGGTGAGCTGGGGGCCAGGCTCCAGAGCTGGC